TTCAGTAACTGGGAGTACTCATAATCGGTGCTTTGTGTCTAAATATTGTTTTGTGCAAGTATTTTTGTGCCTAATACCGATCAATTGGGTAAAGCCATTTGCAACTGATTTTTACAGTTTGTTCTTTTACACCACTGTTTCAGTTAAGTGAGAGGGTCGAGTGCTCACAAACATGTTAAACCCCAACACATTATCTGTGCGTCTGTCAGGAGACTAATTCAGCGGTTGTTTTACGGTTTGTTCTTATACACCACTGTTTCAGTTAAATGAGAGGGTCGAAATGTCTGTCATATTTGATTTTTTTTACATTATTTTATAATAAATAAGGCCGATGGTTTTCTCGTTTGAATTGTTTCACATTTTTTAATGTCGGGGCCTTTTAAAGCTGATTATACGGTATGGGTTTTCTCATTGTTGAAGGCCGTACACGGACCTATATTTGCTTACATCCACGCCATTTGAACTCTAGTGGACAGTATCCTTATTAATATATGAAACATGATATACAATCGTTGATCATTACTTACAAATTGCATATTATAAACAATCGATTTAATTATTAGCTACAATTCATTCAGTTTTAAATCAAATTACAGTTCTTAAATGTTTGCATGATTATGTATGGCATGATTACGATGCAGTCATCTCTTTATCATAAGTTTCGTGGATTATGCATAAAAGAAAGAAATAATTTTAAATTTCCTGCCAGCAGAATAAAATTTTGAGGAATAATATGCTTTGTATATCGATTAAAGCACAAAACCCAAACGAAGAGTGTCACAACTTAGGTCAAATAATTTTACAGAAAAAAAAAATGAATTTATTTTTTCGTAAATGTTTTTGACAATTTCCTGAGCCTTTTACGTAAAGGAGAACCATCTGATGTTAAGAAGTGAGCTGGTGCGGAAAGAAATTAAAAAAATATTTTCGATTTGAAAAAATAGGGAAACGTCATGATAAAAAAACACAATGAATTCATTTGATTTATGGAACCTGTACTTTAGAGTTAGAGTTCAGTTTATGGTTAGGTTTGTTTTATGTTAGGATTAGGTTTAAGGGCTTTGGTTAGTGATAAGTTTAGGTACGGGTTAGTGTTATTTCTATGGTTAAGGTTAATTTATTATTACCATATATGTTTTGGGGTCCATACAGTAAATGAAGGCCGAAATGATGTTCTATCTCTTTTAAGCCTGTTTGTGCAATGTTTCCTTTTCGGTCAATAGTTAGTCTCGTCTGATTTCCCACCATTCTGTTGTATTATTGGAAGGATTAGTAATCATATTACGTACATGCAAATTTATATCTGGCTTTCTAAATAGAATAAACTAAGAAGATTATTTGAAACCTAGCAAATATGCATAAGCGTATTGAATAATGTAGATTGAGATGATAAATGCCTTGTTATCCTATTGCCGTGCAGTTAAGGCTTATTTTTAAATGTGTCCGATTATTTATATAAATATATATATTTATATGTATTATACCTTATAAATATACTCCAAACCACGAGAACAGGATCCAAATGTCTATCTTGATATACAGTTACAAAGAACAAGTTAAAAGTACCTTTTCATAATCATGTATTTTAAAAGAAGTCAAACAACATTTCTGCAATGTTCATACACGTTTAACGGCAATATCTCAGTGCATCGGCATTGGAAATGATTCTTGTCTCGTCTTTATAAATTCTTTGAAAATTTTACTGAACAAACTTAACATAATCATTTTATCTCATCAAGGTAAGATTAACCTTAGATTGTTTCCTTTTTTATCCTTTTGTAACATGTGGTTATACATCTGAGGGTGTCCAAACTTTACGGATGAATGTTCCTGATGAAGGTAAATCCAGCCATGCGCATTAAACTAAATAATGTTGGACGAATAAGAAAAGTTGACATGTACGTTCAACGTAAATTTGACACTTCGCGTTGGTTACTATATAAATAACACATAACTGAGAGGGTGATAGAGCAGATTGTTACCCCGAGAAAACATTGTCAACTGAGGCGAAGCCAAGGTTGACAATGTCTTTTCGAGGGGCAACAATCTGCTCTATCGCCCTCTCAGATATGTGTTATTTAATTTATTATACTTAATGTTCTGTTATTACTATGACGTCTTGTACATAACAACTATCCGTATTTAATAAAGCGCACACTTGATCAAGCGTCTCAGTGAAGGGTAATAGAGTATTTGCCATAGGATAGATAGATAGAGTCGTATTTAATAAAGCGCACACTTGATCAAGCGTCTATGTGAAGGGTAATAGAGTATTTACCATAGAATAGAGTAAATTATTCCACTGTTTATACCTATTGATAGTTTAATCAATATTTGATTGGTTGAGACTATCCCACGTGTCATTGAACAAATCTTCATATTCCATTCTGAGGATCATATTCCCTTCTGAAATGTCGGGATTACATCGTGCGACGTTACGCGCGGCTAATGTACATAACGTTTTGAACTTCTTATTCTTTTTAAAATAGCGATAGCAAAAATCATTATCATGTTCAAATTTATTTCAGACGATAAAACAAAAAGACTAATAATTAAATTTTGCTCCGTACTGTTTATCAATGGGTATGTCGTGTTTAGTTTAACTTATAAATACAAGCGGATAAGAAAACAAAATGTATGCAAAATATTTTTTAATGTATTGATAGTAAACAAAGCATAGGCAGTGGAATAAAACATTCATTTTTACCTTTGCCTCGGGAGATATGAAGATTTGCTCACCCTCGAAAAATCATATTTCCCTCGGGCAGAGCCCTCGTGAAATATGAATATTCTTGGGTGAACAAATCTTCATATCTCCCTCAGGCACGGGAAATAAATGTATATTGTCTCCCTCGTATTAACCAATCAAAATCTGGCATTTTGACATGAAGTATAATAAGATAAAGTAACTGATTATAGGTATGCTGAAACAGATACAATTATCATCTTTTTTTTAATTTCATATCCATGTTGCCACGAAAAATGCTTTACACATTTAGGCTTATGAATTCGTGAACTGACACTGATTTTAATGACTGGAAAATTATTAGTTTCAATATTGAATATGTGCTAATTAAGGCCGAATCAAAGGGGTTATGGAAACTTGTATAGATTTCATGTGACCAGTTAACAACATAAAAAAAAACACTTTTGCGGGCTTCTGAGGCCGTGGTGAAAGAAAGTACTCAGTTTTAAATATTCGTGCAAGAGATACATAACTTTCTAAAATAAATGTTCCCTTTCATTTTTTCTTATAAAATGAATATAAATTTTGCAAGTTTATAAAAATTAATATCTCAGTCAAGTATTGTCATTTTAAAGTGGACCCTCATTTCCCCTGCAATTTTTACTCTGATTCAATCGATTGGCTGGATATGAAAACAATGTCAACCGAGAGTGTAACGTACAGTAATTTTTGTTTTTGTTTCTTATTGAATTGACTAAATACTTCCTTGCAGTAAATTAAAACAGGTAATAAATACAGGTATTCAATGCATAAATCTAATCCAGGAAATAAGTTTCCTCTGGACAAATAAGTTTGTAAAGTTGATTATAACTGATTTAATTTATCACTTAGTACAACATTTCCTGTAGACAAATACTCCAATTCACCCAAATGACGTTTTCAACAAAACAATTGATACTAAGTATTCATAGGTACTAGTATATGATAAAAACAGATATTAAGCATACTTTAGTTTTAATAAGCACTTATAAAAAGCAATTACATGTACCATGGTTACTGATGATGTAGGTCAATTACTTAATAAAAAGGGTCAATGAAAACTTGTATTTTTTTCATTTGTGTTTTCATTTAAGGACATGCAAATGGGATTCCAAATTCAAAACTTTTTTTCGGTCAGTAACCTGTATAACCTTTCCCAGAATGCAAAGCAATTCATTAAGTTTAACAAAACTGTTTTGTCCTATGACCTAAAACCAAAACGACTGGTTGATTTATTGTAAGATGGAAAAGGCCAATACAACTGAGCTTCTTCGCAAGACCGCATTATCTGATAAATAGTTTTATTAAAAATAACACGGATATTCAATTAAAAAATTTTACGGTTGCAACCAAATAAAATGGTTTTTTTTTTATTAATGTGGCTTCTAAGAGCATTACAATTTTAAAAATTTTATTTAAATATATGGTAGCTATCTGAAAAATTTAACTTGTAAAATAAGCATTCAGTTCAGTGGGGTGTCTAACGTCAAACTGTTCAGATCTAGAGTTACAACAAAAGATAGCAAGCAATATTTAACTTCGTATAAAAATGATAACATAAATGACAATGACATTCCGTGTCTTCCAATTTGAAATATTGATATAAACTGTTAACTCGGTGAATTGTTGGATGAAGAGGAATAATTAATGTATAGAAAGGTCTTCAATTAACCCGCAACAAAATATTGACATTAAAATTATTTCAACAAATATCAAGGAAGCTATTAGTGTTTATTGTTCTTATTTCCGATTACTTGAAATCCTTTAACTGCTGCGATATTTTGATAATGTATCTAGGAATAGTAAAAAAAGAGTGGAATAAAAACTCATTAAAGATACCTGGCTTATAATTTGGTACGCCAGACGCGCGTTTCTTCTACATAAGACTCGTCAGAGGCGCTCGAATCAAAACTGTTCGGAATAAAAATATACTGGGTATATAAATGGGCCAAGATGTTTTACGTGAAGAAGTTCAGACCAACAATAAGGTCAAAGGAAGTCGTTTCATCAGTTTGTATATGCAAATAACCAGAAAAACAAATTCACTCTCAAATATAGCAGCGTTTGAAACTATTTCACCTAAATACAGAAAATTACCGTTTTGTTGAATTATCAGAACAAAACGGCAAATTTCATTGACAAATTTAATGAAGAAAATACTACCTTTTTACTTTTTCAGTTAATATTTTGTTCCATATTTCATGTGCATAAAACTTATGGACAAAGCGATACCAATTGAAACACATGATTATTTTTAAAGATTTATTTTACTTACCGTGCATACTGCCAGCTGAACAGTTTTTTCTCATTTTGAAGCCCACATAAAAATATCCTATAGCAAGTGAAATTCCATAGGCTAAAAACAAGGTTTGGCAAATAACAAGCATAACTTTTGCCGAGGCTTTATAGAATACAACAAAATCAGAAGTAATAACTATCACCAAATGGACTGCAGTAATAATCAAAATGGCTGAAAATTTCTGAAATTTCGGTGGTCCTATGTCCATCTTAGTTGTGTCCAGTAAAACTAAAAATACCAAGCTGAATGATGAAGTTAGAAAAGGTAAACCAACTGACCACATTATTCTTGCTGTGAGAAAGGGAATGTTATTATAAGCATAATATGGTTCGGTAAAAAGTGTAACAGTTCTTGTGGTGCTGAAAAATATCACCATGAGAAGTAAAGATAAAGTAAGTTTTCCTTTTCCAGCTTTTACAGATTTCAGTAATGCAGCTATACAGATTGCTGAAAATACTAACGCTAAAGCGTAACATATTCCAAAAATATAAACATGTAACGGCCATGCAACACCCCATTCGTTAAATGCAGAATTCCATTCCGGTTCTGGTTCTGGCCACGATTCTGCTTGAGGATCACTGTTGATCAATATGAAACTTTCAGGCAGTAAAGATTCGGGTTCTACTTCAGGTTCTACAGTTGTTTCCGGTTCTGATTCTGACAAAGTGTATTCTGCCTCTGGTTCCACGGACGACTCTGGTTCAGCCGACATTAGAATAAAGTACGAAAAAATTCTAAAATGTTATGCCATAGATTTCTCTGAAAGAAATTTTAAATACTGAAATAAATTTTCAATCAGATTTTAATTTGAACACTCGTTTCAAGCATTTAAGTCCACAATGTTTAAAGTACGATTTACAAGGCTAATTGTTAATATCCTGAACTGATCATTCTAGTTGTTGATTTATAATTAAATCTTTAAAATCTATTTCCTTGTAAAATTGTAAAAACAACAGATAACTCTGATCGTACCTGTGTCACAAATGTATCTGATGTTGATCAATACTGCTGGCAATAAAAAGGTTCGCCACTTTGACTCGCATTAACTAATAATTAACAAATTCACAGACATTAATAGGAATTAATTGTGAAACCGGAAAATACCAATAGTTTTATACTCCAATAAGATCCATTTCACAATGTAGGTAATAAAAATAGCAAATCGTGTTTGGTGACGAAAACAGATCATCAATGTGAGGAAGTAAATCTTTAATGATAGGAAGTCCGTCGATAGACTGAAATTACAAATTTCTTTACGTAATTTGATAAGTATAAAGTTTCTGAAATTAAGGTATTGTTATTTTTTCACCTAGGGATGTTTAGTTACCTCACTGGCAAATATCAGGTGTGTTTGCTTTACCCGATCATTAGATGTCATCAAAACAAATGGACACTGTCAATTCTATAAGGTTTCTACTTATTTAGTAAAGACACTCATTAGTGTCCTCTGTTTAACATCGAGTGGATTTCCATATGCCACAAATTGTAAACTGTTGTACTGTCATGATATATGAGTTCCTTCATAATATAAGTTCCAAATGGAAAAAATATTCAGTAATAGTGTATCCACTGACACAAATGTTACAGTATTTGTTCCATCAGGAACAGATATTATGCCATTGTTTAAACAAAGTTTCCAGGGTACTTCTGTTAGGCGGAACAAAGATACGTTGACATGTTACGAGTCTTCAGTACCATTATTTAGAATATGATTAAATCATGGAGTTATTGAAAGCGATCTGAATTTATTTTAATCGCTCTCGGCCCTACACGATGTATTGGATTTAACGTTCTTATTTCGACCAGACATGGCTACATATTTATACATCCCGCACAACCAAATTGAATCATCTGGCTAGAGTGGGTTTTACCAGAGGGATGAAATAAAGTCTATGTGACCATATTTCTATACACTCTGTAAAGACTTCAGGTTTATATTAGGCAGAGCCAGAAAACGTCAAAATGGAAGAGATCTTGGTCGTGGTTTCTTCCTTTTTACTTTAGAGTACAACCCTTATACATTGATTTCTTTTATAGCGAATAGAAAAAAAAAATCTAGTTATCGCATAATTCGCAAAGAAAAAGTAAAGTTCCATAGCTCTCAAACAACAACTAATCTACAAGTCTACAAACCATATCTGTGTTAGAAGGAAACTATTTGAATACGCCGAATTAAATATTGTTTATTAATTTTCACTGCTTAAAAGGTAATTCAAAAGTTTGTATCAGACTTAAAAAAAAAGAAAGTTATATCCCTTGTAGAAATGGTGGTAAATCATGCATACGGTTTCATTGAAAAACATCGAAAGATACATTATAAAAATAGAAAGCCAAAGGTTATGAATGACAAAAAATCTTAACTTTAAATGATTCTTAGTAAATAAAACTCACCAAACTTTCCTAGTGGATATTAATAGCAAACTATAATTGACATCCCTTTTTGAAAGGTGAGTTGTTTTCATGGCTGTTAAGTTATACAATTTAGAATATGACCATCGATGTGTATGAAAGACTAATGTTTTAAGTGATGTTAACGAAACCATAGAAAGTTGTAAAAGCCATCAAAAATTATGTATATGTAAGAGAATGATAATCCCTTTCTTCATGATTAAGTACGAGCGTTAGCGAGTACTTATCATGAAGTAAGGGATTATCATTCTCTTACAAACTTAGAATATTGTAAAGTGCTCAAGGCTCAAATGATATCTTGATTGGTTGTATTCAAGAATTAGTGTCATTGTCAGTTCAATGTTTATAATTGATGCATGACTTCCTTTTTTGGCATTTCATTTATGGATTAGTTTTAGTGATGTAAGGACATTGTTATAATTTGGGAAATATTAAAACAAAAATGCGTTATAGACATTAGGTGACACAACAGTACAAAGAAAAGGTAGAATTGTATATGTTTCCTGATTGTGAGTATGAATGTAAATCATGTAATATTTTAGTGAGGAATTATCCCTTTTTTATTTACAGTTTAAATCAATAACTACATTTGAGTTACAACTAATTTTATTTCACAGCCAATATTTTGGTCCGGCTTTTTAAATCAAATACTATTTCATTATGTCAGGGGAATGTTCAAATAAAATGTCTTTAAAAGTTTTAAATGTATTCAAAACTTAAATTAAATTCCTATTTTTTTTATTTTATCGGAATATTGGAAATAACTATATATATAATTCTTCCCACCGCTAGTCCAGTAATAAAAGTTTTGGAAAGCTAAAGATTTAGGTTGTTTTAGATTTTAAAACTTTTTTTTTCTTTTTTTGCATTGCTTTGATATTGTTTAATTTTTTAGTAATTTGAAGTTATTAATATTTTCATAATAACATTAAAGGTATCAGTTTTACTGCACCAGTAGACTTCCAACTTATTTAGATTTTTTTGTTTCACAATTCAACTTTTAGTCAGTTTCAATTACTGTGTGATAAATCCTTTCAATCTGATAAATGTGCTTCGGGGCAGTTGTAACTCATTTATAGAAACTCTTTGTTTTGAACTGTAAATAGACCCAAATAATAGGATAATCCCTTACTAAGAACATGATTTACATTCATTCTTCACAATTAAGAGACATCCAATTCTACAATTTAATTGGTCGAGAGCACTTTGCTATATTCTAAATGGAAATGTTCAGTCCTTATACGTGTGGTCAAGCTCCAAAGCAAAATAGATGAACGATTGAACAACGTTTGTGGCTTCAAAAGTTTATTATTTCACGAATGCTAGCCTCGATACCAAGTCGTTTGTAGTTAGGAAAACTCAATATCGTTCAACTCAAGTTTACGTATTTTGCCTGAAAATGATGGACAAATTTCAACCAAGCGCACATTTTCTCTAACTGTATGTAAACTAATCAGCTAAAACTTTTTATATTAAGGATAGTTGCTGGATATCCGTTTTAACTGAGTTTAACAACATTATCAAAGTGTTCAATAAAGAACCAGTCTATATAATTTTAAACCTAACTGACTCGCAATTTTATAATAAACAATAATTATGAACTTTTTAAAATAAGTTATCCATGGGGAATACTTAAAAAATCATCTTATTCACGATGTAAAAATGAATATTTAAAACTTTTCCATTATATGTTACCTGTGAAATGGCGCCAATGTAGTTTTATTTTTTTGGCGCAAATGAAAGATTGATTTTTTTTTTCAAAATTGGCGCAAATGCAATGCACCCCCTCTTTGGAATCATTTAAAAAGGTAAAATTCACCTGTATTGGTATTGCTGGTGTATATTTGTCACACGTTCCATCTGCAATATACGGAAATGACACGGCTGGGTATTGTAAAGTTACTGAAGGACGTTTAATGTCAAATTCATATCCCCGGGCGAAAACATGATTATTTACCGGTTTTTCAAAACGCCGTTTGTACACTTACCAAAGTGTATTGATCTTTCACGCTGTCTAGTCTAAGATTAAAAGTTTAGGCAATTTTTGTAGGTTTTTAAAGTGAACGGAAAATGAGCTTTGCAACAGTGTCTCTAACGATAAAAAAAAAATAATGTGGTCCGTCAATATGACACATTACAGAGGCAGGTATAAATATTTGTAAAATTGGCTTAAATATTTCATTTAACAGCAATTTCTAGAACTGATTATTTTGATCCCTCGAATACGTGTAAAATAATGAGTATTTATATTATTTAGATTCTTTCATATAATTGTTTTTGTTTATTGTATTCACGAATTTTATATAAACTCATGACGTTTAGACCTTGGCATTTCGTGTAGACACCTGGGGCGTGTTTTATTGGTCTATTCTGCACATCTCCAGAATGTCTTCTGGTGAAGAGTCCAAAAAAAAAAATGAATCTGGAGATAACCTGGAGATATTCTACGGAAGATCAATAAAACAAAAATTCAATTTGCCGTCGAATATAGCAGATTTTTGTTATGTTGGATGACATATTAAATGAAGTTTACGATGATTTTATAGAAAATTAAGATACGTCCGGTAGACATGACTGTAAAAGTGTGCTCTGTTCGTGACATGTTTCTTTGTTCTTTCCTCTGACTCAATTTTGCTAGACAAATCAGGCGTAAACCCCCACTATTTGATTTTTAAGAATAATCTTAAACTGCACAAAAATTCGTCAATGTTCGTCTCGAATATGATCAAAAAGGACATCTTGTCTATTCAATTTTTTTAAAGTAACCGAACTGGATTATTTTTGTATAAAGCAAAGATATCGGAAAGTTCTTAAAATCATTTTTCTCTGGTGGTCCTTGAAGAAAATCTTCTGGTCCTAACTATTATTTCTATTGCATAATTTCGATGGTCAAAACCTTCGGACCACCACTTTTCAAAAATTTTCATTGTATATGGATCTATATGCAAGTATATATATACAATGTATACCAGACATTTCTCAGACTGTTTTTTCTTCTTTTTTTTTAATAAATCCGTTGGTTGTGTACTGATTGATACTTCAGTCTTGGAGAACAAGATTTATTTCAGTACTATAGTTGTAATTAGCTTTGAGCAAACTTCCAGTAATTGCAAATACCCTTATTTCGGTGCTTTGTGTCTATTGTCTTAATGTAAGTTTTTTTTGTGTGTCTCGTACCGATCTTTTGAGTTAATCTAATTGCAATTGATTTGTGCAGGTTGTTCTAATATTGTTCTGTTACACCACTGTCCCAGCCTCGGGGAGGGTTAAGCGCTCACAAAAATGTTATTGTACTGTTACACCACTGTCCCAGGTAAGGGGGCTGGTTTGGCCGGATCCCGCTAACATGTTTAACCCCGCCAGATTCTGTATGTATGCTCTGTCCAAAGTCAAAGTCAAATGTAATTCAGTGGTTGTCGTTTTTGCTGTGTTACATATTTGTTTTTCGTTCATTTTTTTTTGTACATTAATTAGACCGTTAGTTTTCTCGTTTGAATTGTTTTACATTTGTGATTTCGGGGCCTTTTATAGCTGACTATG